CTAGGGTACCAGAACTACAGGATTCCATGAAACAAAAACAAAAAAATAGATTACAAATTAAGTTGTAATCAAGAGTTGGTGCATATTTTTAAGGAGTCCAAAAAAAAACTTACATAAGCTCTAAAAACAGTGAGGTTGGGTTTGTTTTTAGCAAATTTACAAACATGTATGTGGTTATGTGCTGTAACTACACCCTGAAATGGTTACTGTGTGTCAGCCCCACACATGTGCGTTTGTTAATGTGTAGGGCGCACTCCATATCGCCTCTTATGAACGGAAACAGTGTGCAACCCTTCCAGGTTTTCACCTCCCATCAGCTCCATCTTTTGGGAGCCAGAGCAGATATGTAAAAAAAATCTGACTGTCAAGCAATCTGGTTGATTAGGGATTCAGCATACTGGCAAACTTCAAATAATTGAAGGAAGGACTAATGGGGAAATGTACAGAGCATTCTTGATAAAAATCTGCTATCATCTACCAGGATGATGACGATGAAACTTTGGTAGACATTTCAGCAAAAGAATGACCCCCAACTCACATCCAAGGAAACTCTCAATTCGATTTAGAGAAAGAAAATAAAGCAGCTAGAATGACCCAGCCAATCAACTGACTTTAATCCAATAGAAAATCTATGGAATTAACTAAATATTAGAGTTCATAGAAGAGGCCTACAAAACCTTCAACATTTGAGGACTGTTTGTGTGGAGGAATGGGCCAAAATAACGCCTGAGCATTGCATGCAACTAACTTCTCCATACAGGAGAAGTTAGTTGCCAACAAAGGCTTTCATACAAAGTATTAAATAGATTTAATTAAGTGTGTTCAGTACTTTATCCTTGTGCCATTTCACATTATTACACATAACTCAATAGCAGCACATCTGTGATTTGATTTCTTAGTATGTGTGAATTGCACAGATTGCTAATGATGTGTTAAAAATGTCATGTCAGTAGCACCTCTAGAAATATATTTACTGACAAAATGGTAGCCTAATCAATACTTATATATATGTACATGTATATATATATATATATGTACATGTATATATATATATATACACTCACCGGCCACTTTATTAGGTACACCTGTCCAACTGCTCATTAACACTTAATTTCTAAGCAGCCAATCACATGGCGGCAACTCAGTGCATTTAGGCATGTAGACATGGTCAAGACAATCTCCTGCAGTTCAAAGCGAGCATCAGTATGGGGAAGAAAGGTGATTTGAGTGACTTTGAACGTGGTATGATTGTTGGTGCCAGAAGGGCTGGTCTGAGTATTTCAGAAACTGCTGATCTACTGGGATTTTCACGCACAACCATCTCTAGGGTTTACAGAGAATGGTCCGAAAAAGAAAAAACATCCAGTGAGCGGCAGTTCTGTGGGCGGAAATGCCTTGTTGATGCCAGAGGTCAGAGGAGAATGGCCAGACTGGTTGGAGCTGATAGAAGGGCAACAGTGACTCAAATAACCACCCGTTACAACCAAGGTGGGCAGAAGAGCATCTCTGAACACACAGTACGTCGAACTTTGAGGCAGATGGGCTACAGCAGCAGAAGACCACACCGGGTTCCACTCCTTTCAGCTAAGAACAGGAAACTGAGGCTACAATTTGCACAAGCTCATGGAAATTGGACAATAGACGATTGGAAAAACGTTGCCTGGTCTGATGAGTCTCGATTTCTGCTGCGACATTCGGATGGTAGGGTCAGAATTTGGCGTCTACAACATGAAAGCATGGATCCATCCTGCCTTGTATCAACGGTTCAGGCTGGTGGTGGTGGTGTCATGGTGTGGGGAATATTTTCTTGGCACTCTTTGGGCCCCTTGGTACCAATTGAGCATCGTTGCAACGCCACAGCCTACCTGAGTATTGTTGCTGACCATGTCCATCCTTTATGACCACAATGTACCCAACTTCTGATGGCTACTTTCAGCAGGATAATGCGCCATGTCATAAAGCTGGAATCATCTCAGACTGGTTTATTGAACATGACAATGAGTTCACTGTACTCAAATGGCCTCCACAGTCACCAGATCTCAATCCAATAGAGCATCTTTGGGATGTGGTGGAACGGGAGATTCGCATCATGGATGTGCAGCCGACAAATCTGCGGCAACTGTGTGATGCCATCATGTCAATATGGACCAAACTCCCTGAGGAATGCTTCCAGCACCTTGTTGAATCTATGCCACCAAGAATTGAGGCAGTTCTGAAGGCAAAAGGGGGTCCAACCCGTTACTAGCATGGGGTACCTAATAAAGTGGCCGGTTAGTGTATATATATATATATATATATATATATATATATATATATATATATATATATATATATATATATATATATATATATATATATATATATATATATATATATATATATACATATATATATATATGAGCCCTGATATTTAGAACAAGAACAGATCGTCACAAGCTCAAGAACTTATGGTTGGGTGGGTCGGTCTTTTTAACTATATTGTGTCACTTCTTTTAGCAATTTCTTATCTCTTGCCTCACATAAACAATACAAAAAACTAAAATCTGAGAAATTTGGTGAAACTTTTCAGACTATTCTACCCATTTATTTATGATAAACCTTGTTTTCTGTTCTATTTTCCCATTAGGGGCTGTGTTTACTGACACAAAAGCAATTAAATAAATGCAAATAAATAAAAGCAAATCTACATTTTAAAACGTCAGTGCCGACAAATTTTCACAGCATGGTATACAATTATTCATTCAATATTCTCATTGAAAACAGCACAGGTTATGAGATTAATTTGAATATAAACAAAAAATGGAATCTTTGAACAGACTCCACCCCCAAGGAAAATTCTATGATGTCACAAAGGCGGTTATGGTGTGATGTCATCACATCACCAAAGAATTCCGTGTTCCTCATTGCTGGTGTAACCTGCATAAAATAAGAACCCGTATTTTATTTTGGCGGGTCAAATTGATAGCACCCTTTAAGTTCCGGGTCACAGGTGACTCAGATCTGAATAGCTGTTGCTGCTGTCGCTGTGGCTAGCTGCTCGTCTCGGCGTCTTCTAAACTAATAGAAGAATACGGCTGGATCAAGGCTTATTAAGACGGCCGAAGGATTTAACTGAGTGTTTTCTGTCGACCGCTCGACGGTGAGTCGTTTAATTTACGTATTTTGTTTTTCTTTAGAAATAGAAATGCGGTGGCGACACGCCCACTAAATCTGTGCATTAATGACTGAAAAGTTTATTTATTGATTTAAAAGGTCATTTTCTTTTGTTAATTTTGTGGCCGAATAGATTATATATTGTTAAAATATTAAATAGGCCTTTTGATTTTTGTAGATTCGTCCTTTTAGGGCAGTTTTAGTTACTTTTTATTAAATTTTGCTAAAAGCCTACAGAACTCTGGGCTTAGACATATTTTTTTTTTGTGAGGAATAAGAGGAAAAAAACAATTCTTTTTTTGAAATGATATGGAAGTCAATTAAGTTTAATTGACTGCGTCAATTAAACTTAGATGGAATTTAAAAAGTGCACTTTACTTTGATCTGTACCGGTAACTTTACTTTGATCTGTACCGGTAACTTTACTTTGATCTGTACCGGTAACTTTACTTTGATTTGTACTAGTAACTTTACTTTGATTTGTACTAGTAACTTTAATCTGATCGCGATCTTTAATTTAAATTCATGAGAAACACTTATTGAAATGAAGTTATTTATTTATGTTGTAATTGTTGAATGTTTATTTATTTTGAATAACATTTGAACAATGTTTAAATATGATAGCTAATTTGTATTTTTATTTATGACCTTGTTTAGGTCAGGTTTTTTTCACCCCCTGTGTCACGTCAGGATGGCGAGCTACCGGATCACCGCAGCTTCGCGGTAGGATTTACATGAACCAAGTTACTTTCTCATTCTGAACTTATTTGCTTTGGGTTATGGACAAGAAAAACCCTACAACAATCGGACATTGATTGATGAACTGTTGAATCACTCTAGATTCATGAATGGACTAAAAAGGAAACTCTTGGGTGACATAAGGGTTTATTGTTTTTGTTGCTGAGTTGTTTGTCCTTTTTTTTTTTTTCCCCCTTGTCGTGTTTTTGGTTATATTATAGAAAATCACTGTTATTATAAATATTATTAATATTGCATATCTTCCTATATATATGAAAAAAAAAACTCAAACTTGAATACAATAATTTAAGCATACTTTTGTCTAATGGTATTTTGTTCACACCCACGGGCTCCATAGGCGAACCTATCTGAGTGCCTATTATAACTGGCTGCAGTCAGGCGCCTAGCCTTAAATAAGCGTTACACGTGGCGAGCTAGCCAGGAGCTTGTGTGTGTGAACATATTTTTTTTTTGGGCTATTTCTCATTTTGAACATTTATTTCAGTTGTAGGAATAGGAAATTCTAAGTAAAATATTCAGCTTTTTCAAAAGGTAAAATAAAGAATACTTAATAAAAAAAAACATGATGGATATTGTTGAGCAATCTGGTATAAATGTGTCACAGTCTGTGATGATTACTGGTGCTACCGATACCAAGGTTGATGAGGAAATACTTAATTGCTTAAGTAGATACGGTAAACTTAACCGCACTTTATATGTAACTGATTCCTCAAGCACGTTTTTTAAAAACCTGATCGTTGAGTTTGCAGATTTAGCTGCTTTTTCCGCACTACAACCGCTTCTACCTTATACTTACACCTCTCAAACAAATACTGACCGAGTGTTTTGTGTCACCGCTTTGGCATTCGAGTATGCAGCAACAGAGGGCAGCAGCAGCAAACATCAGCCCAACTACATCGCTGAGCTCAGGAAAATTGCTGATCAAAGCGGCCATCGTTTTGAAGATGTTCTGAAGACAGTAATGAGCCAGATAGGCCAACATCTGCATGCAGCAGGAGCAGATGAAAATTTTGATGATGATGATGATGATGACTACGACGATGATGAGGAAGAGGATGGAGTAAAGGTGAAAGAGGAAAAGGAAGTGGATAAATTTACTACTGCACAGCCAGTGCAAATGGACTTAGGATCATTATCCTCACTTCCTCCTGCTCATTCATCCTCGGGCCAGGGAGCACGACCTCGTCGAAAGCAAACTGGACCAGCTCCAGGACTGTCGCTTTCTACCAATGATCTTAACCCACCTCAGATACAACGGGTTGTTGTTGAACATGTGGTTCGAAATACTGATTTGACTGGTCCAACCTCACTTCGTCTCCGTACTTTTTCAGGAAGGTTTCCTAAGCCGAGTCATGAAGCTGATTTTGAGTCCTGGCGTTCCCAGATTGAGTCTCTGCTTGCTGATCCCAGTCTCTCTGCACTACATGTCACTAGACGAATCCAAGAGAGTTTGTCATCACCTGCAGCTGATTTAGTCAAAGGTTTGAGCCCCCATACAGTACCAACAGTTTTGCTAAGCGTACTAGATTCTGCTTTTGGAACAGTGCAGGACGGTGAAGAATTGTTTGCACAGTACTTAAACATTCTGCAGAATCCAGGGGAACGACCATCCACTTACCTTCAAAGGCTTCTGCTCACCCTCAACACTGTTGTGAAGCAAGGAGGAATTTCACCTGCTGACATCAATAAACATTTACTCAAACAGTTTTGTCGTGGGTGTTGGGATAACACTGTCATCACAAAGTTACAGCTGGAACAAAAGAAAGACAACCCACCAGCTTTTTCTGATTTGTTGTTGTTACTCAGGACAGAAGAAGATAGGCAACATGCTAAAGAGTCACTTATGAAAAAGCACATTGGAACGTCTAAACAGAAAGTTCACGTTCAGTCCCAAAGTGCCTGTTCTTGTGGACATTCTACGTCCAATGAAGAGCTGAAAGAAATGAAAAAACAGCTTCAGAAACTACAGCAGCAAATGTCCCAACTTCTGTCCAGGAAGAGTCCAGCTGAATTCAAGTCCATGTCAAGACAGAACAAGTCCTACTCTTCACCTCAGGTACGAACCAAGCCCAAGCCTTGGTACTGTTTTAATTGTGGAGAAGACGGCCATCTTTCCTCCTCCTGCACAAATAAAGCAAACCCCAGTCTGGTTGAGCAGAAAAAGAAACTGTTACGCCAGAAGCAACAAGCATGGGATGCCAAAATTTCAAAATCTTTAAACTAGAAACAGCTCCTGTAGTGGGACACACAGAAGCTGTGTATATGAACAGTCCCAAAGAACGCAGGATAAGAACACTGCCACAAGGTCTTATCGGCACAAAGAGCATATGCCAAGTTCAGATAAAAGGAGATCAGCTTAACTGCCTCCTTGATTCTGGCTCACAGGTTACTACTATCCCCTACTCCTTCTACAATACTTACCTCAGGGACCATGAAATCAAACCAATAAACAACCTGTTGGAAATAGAAGGAGCAAATGGACAAACAGTGCCTTACCTGGGATATGTAGAGATCAACATGACCTTCCCACCTGAATTGTTTGGTTTACCTGTTGAAGTTGACACACTTGCTCTTGTTGTGCCTGATAATAAGCCATCTCAACATCTGGTTCTCATTGGCACAAATACCTTAGATGTTGCTTACAGCAAACATTTTGACACTCACCCTGACGAGTCATTTCAACCTACAGTCTCTGGTTATATAGCGGTGTATAAGATCCTCCAACACCGCTATGCCCAGAGTTCGAATGAACTTACTGCAACTGTCACCCTGCAGTCTAGTCAGCCCCAAATCATTACTGCTGGGCAGACCACAGTTGTAGAAGGGTGCTTAGCTTCAAGATTGTGGCAAGGAGAAAAACAAGTCCTCCTGGAACATCCGAGTTCCTATGCCCTCCCTGGTGGGCTCATGGTAAAAACCTGCCTCATTGACTTGCCTCAACACCGGCCGTGTCATGTGCCAGTCGTTGTGAGCAATGAGTCGAACCATGAGATTCATATTCCAGCACGAGCAGTCATAGCAGAAATCAGCACTTTCCAGAGTGTGATCTCACAAGAGCAAACAGTCCACAATTCAACCCAGTCTACAGAGTCCCTACAACCATCTCAACCACAATACAACTTTGGAGACTCACCTTTATCTCCAGAATGGAAGCAGCGAATCATCCAGAAACTCAACAGTATTCCTGAGGTGTTTGCAAAGCACGAGCTGGACTTCGGCCGGACAGACAAAGTTAAACATCAAATCAAGTTGTCTGATCCCACTCCTTTCAAACAAAGGCCAAGACCAATCCACCCTCAGGATATTGATGCTGTAAGAAAGCATTTGCAAGAGCTTTCTGATTCCGGAGTAATACGCGAGTCTGATTCACCATTTGCTTCTCCAATTGTGGTTGTACGCAAGAAGAACGGCAGTGTACGCCTCTGTATAGACTATAGGAAGCTAAATCTTCAAACAATAAAGGACGCCTATGCTCTACCCAAGCTTGAAGATACATTTTCTGCCCTTTCTGGATCAAAGTGGTTCACTGTGTTAGACCTTAAGTCGGGCTATTACCAGATTGAAATGGAGGAAAAGGATAAATCCAAAACTGCCTTTGTATGTCCATTGGGGTTTTGGGAATTCAACCGCATGCCGCAAGGGGTCACCAATGCCCCAAGTACATTCCAAAGGTTGATGGAAAAATGCATGGGAGACTTAAATTTAAAAGAAGTTTTGGTTTTCATCGATGATTTAATCGTTTTTGCACCTACCTTGGAAGAACATGAAGAGCGCCTGATGAAAGTTCTCAATAAACTTAAGGATTTTGGGTTGAAGCTGTCAGTTGAGAAGTGTGTGTTTTTTCAAACATCTGTGAAGTATCTGGGGCATGTTGTGTCCCAGAATGGTGTTGAGACAGATCCAGATAAGATCAAAACACTTACCTCCTGGCCAGTGCCCAAAAACCTAAAAGAGCTAAGGTCTTTTCTCGGTTTCTCTGGATATTACCGCCGTTTCGTCCAAGGATATTCAGCCATAGTTAAGCCATTGCATGACCTGACTGCTGGTTATCCGCCATCTCAGAAGAGACTGAAGCCAACGGTAAAGCCAGAGAATTACCTGAACCCCAAGGCACCATTTGGAGGACGATGGACTCCAGTGTGTGAGAAGGCTTTTGAAACCATAATCGAAAGATTAGTCTCTGCCCCTGTATTGGCATTTGCTGATCCACAAAAACCCTACATACTCCACACCGATGCCAGTTCTACCGGTCTTGGTGCGGTGTTGTATCAGGAGCAGGGCGAAAAGAACAGAGTTGTGGCATATGCCAGCAGAGGTCTCTCGCGGAGTGAATCCAAGTATCCAGCTCACAAATTGGAATTTCTCGCTCTGAAATGGGCAGTGACAGAGAAATTCAATGATTATCTTTATGGTGCTCAGTTCACAGTTGTCACAGACAGCAATCCACTGACTTACCTATTATCCTCAGCAAAACTTGATGCTACCGGTTACAGATGGCTTTCAGCTTTGTCAACATTCACATTCAAGATCATCTACAGAGCCGGAAAGCAGAACATGGATGCTGATGGATTGTCTCGACGACCTCATGGTGAGCTGTCTGATGATCCTACCTCCCGGAAGGAACATGAACGAGTCCTGAAGTTCGTTCAGCATCACCTCAACGAACCAGATTATGTTTCCATTGATCAGCACACCATCGAAGCAGTTTGTGCCCGTCACCTGGTGTATAGCCCAGGTGCACATCTTGACCACGCTCTGGTGTTGTCTATGACCACTCATGTCAACAGCCTACCTGACAGCTTTACTGACGATGAACAGTTCAGCTCCCCTTCACTTCCTCGATTCTCAGCAGATGACATTGCAGCTAAGCAGCGTGACGACCCTGTTATCCGCCATGTCATAGCTCAGCTGGAACGAGGAGAATCACCATCACCATCGGTGAAGGAAGAACTTCCTGAACTGCCCCTTCTACTCCGAGAAGTAAATAAAATGGAGCTCCAAAACAACCTTCTCGTTAGGAGGAGACAAGTGGGAAGTGAAACAAAGTACCAACTAGTATTACCTGAGGGGTATCGAGCTGTTGTGCTGCACCAACTGCATAACCAAATGGGTCATATGGGAATTGACAGAACTATAGACTTAGTCCGTTCCCGTTTCTACTGGCCTAGGATGTTTATTGATGTTGTCAATAAAATCAGAACCTGTGAAAGATGTGTGAGACGCAAATCTTTACCAGAACGAGCTGCACCTTTGGTCAACATCAAAACCACTCACCCCTTGGAGTTGATGTGTATGGATTTCCTCTCTGTAGAACCGGATCGCAGAATCAAAGACATCCTTGTTATAACAGACCACTTTACAAAGTATGCCATTGCTGTGCCTACTCCAAACCAAAAAGCTAAGACCGTTGCTAAGTGTTTGTGGGATAATTTCCTTATGCATTATGGCATTCCGGAAAAGCTGCACAGTGATCAGGGTCCAGATTTTGAATCAAGAACCATCCGAGAACTCTGTAAAATGGCCAACATTCACAAAATAAGGACCACACCATATCATCCAAGAGGAAATCCTGTGGAACGTTTTAACAGAACGCTTCTGGACATGCTGGGAACATTATCTGAAAAAGAAAAAACTAATTGGACGGATTTTGTAAAACCACTAGTGCATGCTTACAACTGCACAAAGAACGATGTCACGGGATACTCACCCTACGAGCTGATGTTCGGACGCCAACCACGCCTACCGGTGGATTTAGCTTTTGGACTGCCATTAAATGAGGATGGATTTTGCTCCCATACGCAGTATGTGCAAAAGTTAAAGTCCCACCTGGAGGAAAGTTACAAACTGGCCAGTAAGAACTCAGCTAAAGTGATGCAGCGTAACAAAACCCGATTTGACCAGAAAGTTACTGCATCAGAACTAAATGTTGGAGACAGAGTCCTAGTAAGGAACGTGCGACTAAGGGGGAAGCACAAACTCGCAGATAAGTGGGAGTCGTCTGTGTATATTGTTGTGAAGAAAGCCGGCAATCTTCCTGTGTACACAGTCAGACCGGAAGGCCAGAACAAACCACTAAGAACCCTGCATCGAGACCTTTTATTGCCATGTGGATACTTACCTTTTCCTGAGGAAGAAATGCCTACCAGAGCTAAAAGGAAATCTCCTGTGTTTTCTCCAGTATCTCCTGATGATGAAGAGGGTCCATCAGAGGAAGAACTAGTCGATCCACCTTTGCACATTCCATCATCTTTTGAACCTGTCAGATTTACAATTGATATTGACCTGCCTCCTGTCGAGCAGTCTGTCCCAGGAACTGAACAGTTTGTTCCCATCACACAATCTCCAGTGCCTGTAACTGAAGAGGACAGTGATGCTGAGGATGATGAACCCAAACCTGTGGAAGGGGAACTTATGACTGTTAAAGAGGAACAACTAGCAGTAGAGAGTGAGGAACCTGAAATTGACTCTGAACAACTCAATCCTGCTGAAGTCTCCAGAGCTGAAGGAAGACTCTCTCCAGATCCTGATACTCCAGAGTCTGACAATGCAGAACATGACACACAAGAAACTGATATATTTGACATTCCCAGCCATACTGAAGAACCTCACTCACCAGTGGATTCAGTATCTCTGGACAGTGAAGACCAACCTCTGAGACGTTCTAGCCGCACAAGAAATCCACCTGATCGATTACAGTACACTAAACCTGGCAAACCATTACTGAAAAGCATTCAGGCTTTGCTTCACGGTTTGAGCTCTGCTTTCTCCTTCGCCCTTCAAGAAGATGAAGAAGAACAGTTCATTGCTCCGTACTCCAATCAGCCTCCCATTTGCTGCCAGCCTGGTGCATGTACGAGGACGTACATGGGATCAGGAGGGGAGGGTGTAACCTGCATAAAATAAGAACCCGTATTTTATTTTGGCGGGTCAAATTGATAGCACCCTTTAAGTTCCGGGTCACAGGTGACTCAGATCTGAATAGCTGTTGCTGCTGTCGCTGTGGCTAGCTGCTCGTCTCGGCGTCTTCTAAACTAATAGAAGAATACGGCTGGATCAAGGCTTATTAAGACGGCCGAAGGATTTAACTGAGTGTTTTCTGTCGACCGCTCGACGGTGAGTCGTTTAATTTACGTATTTTGTTTTTCTTTAGAAATAGAAATGCGGTGGCGACACGCCCACTAAATCTGTGCATTAATGACTGAAAAGTTTATTTATTGATTTAAAAGGTCATTTTCTTTTGTTAATTTTGTGGCCGAATAGATTATATATTGTTAAAATATTAAATAGGCCTTTTGATTTTTGTAGATTCGTCCTTTTAGGGCAGTTTTAGTTACTTTTTATTAAATTTTGCTAAAAGCCTACAGAACTCTGGGCTTAGACATATTTTTTTTTTGTGAGGAATAAGAGGAAAAAAACAATTCTTTTTTTGAAATGATATGGAAGTCAATTAAGTTTAATTGACTGCGTCAATTAAACTTAGATGGAATTTAAAAAGTGCACTTTACTTTGATCTGTACCGGTAACTTTACTTTGATCTGTACCGGTAACTTTACTTTGATCTGTACCGGTAACTTTACTTTGATTTGTACTAGTAACTTTACTTTGATTTGTACTAGTAACTTTAATCTGATCGCGATCTTTAATTTAAATTCATGAGAAACACTTATTGAAATGAAGTTATTTATTTATGTTGTAATTGTTGAATGTTTATTTATTTTGAATAACATTTGAACAATGTTTAAATATGATAGCTAATTTGTATTTTTATTTATGACCTTGTTTAGGTCAGGTTTTTTTCACCCCCTGTGTCACGTCAGGATGGCGAGCTACCGGATCACCGCAGCTTCGCGGTAGGATTTACATGAACCAAGTTACTTTCTCATTCTGAACTTATTTGCTTTGGGTTATGGACAAGAAAAACCCTACAACAATCGGACATTGATTGATGAACTGTTGAATCACTCTAGATTCATGAATGGACTAAAAAGGAAACTCTTGGGTGACATAAGGGTTTATTGTTTTTGTTGCTGAGTTGTTTGTCCTTTTTTTTTTTTTCCCCCTTGTCGTGTTTTTGGTTATATTATAGAAAATCACTGTTATTATAAATATTATTAATATTGCATATCTTCCTATATATATGAAAAAAAAACTCAAACTTGAATACAATAATTTAAGCATACTTTTGTCTAATGGTATTTTGTTCACACCCACGGGCTCCATAGGCGAACCTATCTGAGTGCCTATTATAACTGGCTGCAGTCAGGCGCCTAGCCTTAAATAAGCGTTACACTTGCTTTACTGCTGACCAGATCAGACGTAGCTTAGCCTTTTTCCAAGATAACCTTTTAGATAAGTTTTAGATTCACATTTTAACAACTGTAATTGTGAAGAAATGGCTCATCAATTCCCAAGACAACACAATGGGAGAACAGGACCCCAGGCAAGATGGGGAAATCAACAAAACCACAATGGGAGAATAGGACCCCAGGCAAGATGGGGACATCAACAAAACCAGCAAGCCTGGTTTCAACCTCCACCTGAGGATTTTTTACAAGGGGAAATCCAAAGATTGAACCATCTTTTGGAAATGGAGAAAGGGAGATGGTTTGAGGAGAACCAAAAGGTAGTCGAACTGGAATCACAGTTGGAGGAGACAAAATCAGAGGTGAAAAGGCAGAAAAATCTCAAAGAAATGTTTATCAACAAAGGCAAAGAGACAAAGAGGGAACTGGAGAGATTACAAAAGGTTAGTGATCCAGAGATCCTAAACTCTGCAGCCATTGCCGAAATAGTTCACAACGACATGAAATACAAGAAGAAAAAGATGCTGCAAAAAGACTTTGATGAACTGAAGGTGGCCCACATCCTCGTCCAACAATCTCTTACTTCACAAATCCAGGCAGAAAAAGACAAGAATATTGCCCTCCAAGAAGAACTGGACAAACTCAAGACTTCCTACCAGGAGCTTCCCTCCAAAAGTAAAGATGCTTCTGCAGAAATGCAGCATGTTGGGATTCAGACAGAGAATGAAGAAAGATCCAGTGAGAACGAACAACTCCTCGAAAATCTCAGAGCTGAGAAGGAAGACCTCTTCCAAAAAATGTCTCAAGAGATCGCATCTCTGCAGGAGAGGGACACCAGTTTGCTGAGACAACTAGACCAGCTTCAAGTTTCATACCAAGAACTGAACTGTAGGTATGAAAAAGATGTTTCTGCATTAAAACAGCAAGCAGAGGCATATCAGCAGGAGCTAAACTGCCACAAAAATGCTAGTTCAGAGAGAGCAAGGCAGGACCTGCAGCTTATCAACGACCTGATAGCTGAAAAAGATGATCTCTATCAAAAAATGTCACAAGAGGTCACATTGCTTCAAGAGAAGGAGAAAAATTCACAGAGTGAATTAGAGCAGGTTAGAGAGTCATACCAAGAAATGACCGGCTTGTATGAAAAAGACGTTTCTCTACTTAAACAGCAAGTAGAAAAATATCAGAAGGAGTTTGATCATGAGAAAAAAGCTAATTCAGAGCGAGCAAAGAATGACCTCGAGCAAATCAACAAACTGAGAGCTGAGAGGCTTCATCTCTACCAAGAAATGTCTGAAGAAATCCAGATTCTGAAACAGAAACTCGAAGAACCGGTGAACCATTTGTCAGGTGTGACAAAACAGAGTGAAAACAATAACTCTGCACTGAAACAACAGGTAGAACAACTTCAACTGCAGATAATTCAGGAGAAGAAAAGTCATTTGGAGGCATCAAAGAAGGACCTGACACTTCTTAACAAGTTGAGAGCCGAGCAAGACCATCTCAAAGAAAACGCCTCAAAAGAAATCACCTTCCTGCAAGAAAAGGAGAAACGTTTGCAGGGAGAGATGGACAAGATTCAAGTTTTACAGCAGGAACTGAATTCAAGGTTTGAAACTGATGTTTCTGCACTGAAACAGCAAGTGGAAACCTTAAAGCAGGAGAAAAATATCCAGAAAGTGCCTCAACAGGAACTCATTGTCCCACCATGCACTAATCTTGACAACTGCTCAGAGGAAAACCTGTCAGAGACCAGAGAAATCACTGAAGAATCAACCAAGGTCATGAACAAGGATGTGCAGGAAATTACTGAGGAGCCTGTAATGCAGTCAGAGACAAACACCCCAGATACCAAACTCATGGCGGGAGCAGGCAAAGAGACTAAATCAAAGCGTTCAGCTTGGAAAAGATTACGCCACTCTCTGGGTTTGAGGAAATCAAAAAAGTAGAAGAAAAGCAACAATATCACCTGGTCCCAGCTCCATATAATCGATCCAGAGATAACAGAACATCTTGTTACCAACTGGAAAAAAAAGTTCCCTTTGAACCAAATAAGAAATGTACAGTCACATTCAAATTCAGTCCAAATTTTTGAAAAAAGTGGGCAGTACGGTGATGTGGCGCTTAGTGCTACAACTTCACAGAGAGGACGTCAAAGATCTAAACACACCGTACTTGCGTGGGTTTTCTCCAGGTGCTCTGGTTCCCCCCACACTGCTAAAAACATGTCGATAATTGGCCAATGTGACTTGTCATCAACTGTGAACTGATTCCAAGAAGAAAAGATATTAGACTGTCATCAAAGTAGCGAGGGGAATTTAAAAAAGGCATTCATATACGTTAGTATGCCTGGAATTTCTTGGAAAGGGACCTGGACATTAACAGTATCTTCATAGACTGTTTGTTTTATATGTATATAAAAAAGGTTTCTTTATGATTAAAAAGCATCAAAAAACATATTCCTCAAAAAACGACAAAAAATATATAAAAAGATAAAAAAAACAAAAAAAAGAATTAAAAAAAAGACAAAAAAAAGTATGAATGTGTGCGTGAATGTGTGCGTGAATGTCTGTGTGAATGTGAGAGTGAATGAGTGTGGGGGTGAATCTTTTCACAGGGCGAGTGTGAAGCGTCTACTGCAGAGGTGATTATTGGAAGTTCATGCTTTCAGCTTGCAACTTTCTGCATTCAGCTGCTGCAGCTGGCTAACCTCTTCTATGGGGTGAAAAGAGGAGACCAATGTAAAATCTCCTCCTGCCAGTATATAGCCTCTCCACCGCCAAGACCCCTGCAGTGCCTCCTCGTGGCCCCACACGTCAACTGGGTACTACAGTCCCAGGCTAAACTGCAGGGGATCTCGGAGCAACAGTGGGCCCCAGAGACATGGTGCAATAATGCTGTGGCATCAGTCAACCACTGTTCCAGCTATGGACAAATAGCTTCACTCTCATAGCCCTTGTCTTGTTAGGCCTCTATAGCCAAAATAAGACAGAGGCTATGAGAATACATCTCAGCTGAGTTGTAGGTGGTGCGCCTAAGGTAACTCTAAACTGAGAAAGGATCTATTAGTCTTCTGCAGCCATGATGGCAGACTGGTTGTGCTGAGCCTTAACCACACCATCTGCCTTTACTGCAGCTGATTAACAGTTACCAGTTCAGATTGTCTCCAAAGACTTGTGCATTGACAGTGAGTTCCAGAACATAATAATCAAATGCATCAGCTTTCTTTATGAGACTGGGTTTTTGGTAACAATAACCTACATGGGAACTTATGGCCCACAGATCAAAACCCTGGACATTTGGCATCAGTGCATCCTGGGAATCATTTGGTATGACTACTACACACTGAGATACTCAGCAGCTAGCCTTTCCATTGCAAATACCCTTGTATTGCCTGGCCACACATGGAAACTGGGTACTCTACTGGGTACTCTACTTCTGTTTTATCTTCCTGTATTTTAATACTGTAATGTAAAGCACTTTGCATTGTCTTTGTACTGAATTGTACTATACAAATAAATTTGCCTTGCCTTGCCTTACAGTAGTAGGGGCCACTGAAAGTAGTCATTCAAAATGTCCTCACTTCCTTGATGGGCCCTTGGCTGGTCCCCTACAATGACTTTTTAAACATTTGTACTAAAATGTTCTTTCATGATTTGTTGACATTAAGATCTAAAGAGAAGCGGCATCTACTGGTAAGACCCTGTAATTTAATGAAAGGGTGGAGTCAGAGTAAAAACATATGCAAGAAGGGGTCACTCCATCGGCTGGTAGTTGGAGGGAAGTGGGCTGCCATTCGGCTGACGTTTGACTATAAACACACACAACATACCACATGTTGTAGAATTTACTTATACCATATATGAAAAGACTCTCCCACTCTTCCCCCGCTTACACTGACTGTCCTACGGTCTTCTTTACCTTTCCTCCTTTCTCCCCTTTTATTAGTTCATTCATCGCCTCCTCCTGACAGGCTCGGCTTCTTTTTTTTTTTTATTTTTCTCCAAATCTGGACTCGGATGCCTTCAGGGTTCACAGAAAAACTCAGACAGTTGCAACATGCTGATGACAAATCATTACAAGCATACATTTAAGGAAAGGACAAATTATCGCACATTTGGCCTTTGACTGTACAGAGGGCACACCTGTTGTCAAACACGATTCTCGTACACCTGGTAACACTGAACCTACTTCTTGCTTCCTCTAAGATGATAAATAATTTCCCTACAAAATGAGTTGTTAATAATGATTAAATGTATACATGCAGGAATAACTTCTTACTCTTTTGGTGTACCAAATCACCCTTATTATAACACAATTTTTTGTGGGCTAAGTCCATGATGATGATGATCCGCCCCTAATAAACAGTATTGATTTGAGATCCTCATTAAATAAATACTTATTTTCCACCATATATTTTCTGTAATAATCATACAGTGTTATTTCTTGTTTTTCTTTCAAAATATATATATATATTTTTTTTTGCATAGTTAAAGTGTAACCATGATGAAAATTACAGACCTCTCTTGGACAGTCAGTTAAGTGTTATGCACTAAATTTTTCTTATTTTAAATGTAAATATTTTTCTGCTTGAAAATTGTCTTATTTAGATGCTTCAATATTTTTTTGAAAAAAATAACTTGCTTATAATAATTTTTTTTCTAGTGAAGAGACAGAACTGGTAGAATAATCCTCAGGTCCAATTTTAAACCAGTTTTTCCACCTGAACAACTTTATAGGTACCCAGCAGTCTGGCAATCATATTCTTCTAAACACAAGTCTGAGTCAGTCCTGCGCTCAAGGGCATAAACTGGTGGCTGCACTGCAAAAACAATCCAGAAATAAGTAAAAAATGGCTTAAATTAAGTATATTTAGCCTTAATTTGAGCAGGTAAATAAGATGATTTGCCAATGGAATGAGTATTTTCACTCTTAAAATAAGATAGTTAGATAATATTTACTTGAAATAAGACGATAAAATTGTTTTTTCTTATTTTAAAAGGAAATTGTCTTGTTCCATTGGCAAAGTGTCTTACTTACCTCCTCAAAATAAGGAAAAACGCACTTATTTTAAGAAAAAATAACTTATTGAGATTTCTATTTTTTGCAGTGTGTAAGCCATAAAGCATTTTCTATAAGTTTTGTGTTTCTTACCAAAATGAAAACAGTTAAAGGTCAATTTATACAAGAGAATGACAAGTCTGGAGAAACCGCATTGTGCCTCTGGCAGACAAGATGGGAAGGTGCTGTTATAAACACACCTTTCTCTCATGACTGACATCATCCAGATCTAGCAGGAGGCCACTTTTCCCCCTCTCTCCTTCCTCCAGCTTCGTAGCCTCCAACTGTCTGAATCTAATGGCTGGAAGCACAGTTAAAAGCTCTCAGTGTGATAACGTAATGTGGAGTCAGAGAGAGAGAGAGAGAGAGAGTAGGATTGTTGTATCACTGAGACCATATCCACAGATTATACATGGATGAGGAAATGGTCTAAAAATAAAAACAAATGGAGATGCTAGATGATATCATTGACCTCAGATTGCTGACGGCGGTGTCTTAACTCGTGTCCAGATGGTTATGAGGCAGGGATGATGGTGGGAGCTGAGACTTACTGCTGTCCTCTCTGCTGATGTCATGCTTAATAAAAGAGAGTGGCATTCTGTCTTGCAGATGCTCTAATAAATGATGAATATTAGATTAAAAACATTGCTTACCCTAATTTTACCCTCGGGAGATCCATTCTATTCAGTTGTTGTAAACATGAGATAATATTTCATTTTTAGTATATATTCCTACACTGCAAAACATTTAAATCTAAATAAGTAATTTTTTTCTTAAAATAAGTGCATTTTTCCTTGAATTGATGAGGTAAGTGAGACACTTTGCCAATCAAACAAGACAATTTACATTTGAAATAAGAAAAAACTATTGTGTTGTCTTATTTCAAGTGCATATTATCTAATTATCTTGTTTTAACTGTAAAAATACTAATTCCATTGGCAAACTATCTTATTTACCTGCTCAAATTAAGGGTAAATACACTTTATTTAAGAAATTTCTACTTATTTTCAGATAGTTTTTGCAGTGTAGTGAATTGTGCCTTCCAGTTAGTCCATTTTTTTGTCACCTTCTGTTTTCTTATTTGGTCCTCTGCAGGTCCCATATGCTGTTGACACTGTGCACATCAAGGTTTGTACCTCCATTTCTGCTAAGATCCCTGCTGTTTCCTTTTCTGTTCTTATCCCTCTCTGTCTCGCTTCCCTTTATCGGTTTCCAGACTGGCTGTGCTTAGTAAGATGGATGTGTGCATTCCCAGGGCAGATGGTCGTGTTGTTACTCCATGTACCCGGCTCACACTTTAACACCCAGCCGACTTATCTGGCCTCATGGGGCCACTGCCTGGGGAAAGAAATCTAGCACTGCAAACTGCGTAAATGTGTTTTGTGCAGCTAAGTGCATGGACCCTCATCCTTTTTATCAGAAAGTGGACCTTAGTAGGGTGGACAGCAAAGGCACTGGCTGTTTTTTTCTAAAAGGATCATATCACTTCATTAAGTGCTTTTATTTTCATTTTTAATATTCAGTTGTATCTTATCAAAGAAAATAATCTTTGCATTTTTTTTTAAATGAGAGACAATACTGTCATGGTTTATGTGATGAAACTACAAAAATAGATGCTTAAACAAAATCTATACATTATAAAATATTTTATTCAGCCTCCCTGGAAAAAAAATAAAATAAAAAATATATCGACACAATGATGCTGCCACTACTGTGTTGTAATGTGGGGATTGTGGATTCATTCAATTCAGTCTATTTATGTAGCACCAATTCACAACATCTCAAGACACTTTAGAGAGACAATTCAACCAGACCATACAGTCACATTGGTTCAAAGTTTTCTAAGGAAAACCAGTTGATTGCATTGACCCATTGACACAACAGCAATCCCTCATTAATGGCCTGACCTTCGAAGATGCAGAATTACTGGCGCTTACTGTAATTGCATGTGGAGTAGGACTGAAACAATTAATCGGATCAATTGTCTTTAATTGACTATTGAAATAATGTAACTGGAATATAGACTCTAAAACACGCCTTTAGCTGACAGAGCACCTCACTTAGAGAACTAATTATACAAATTCTAAAAATTTTGCATTTGAGATAAAAAAATTCTATTAGTCCCTCAATATTCTTTACCCAGAACACTTCAAGTGGAAAACTTCTATTTTCCCCTTGCTTAAATTCTGTAAAAAAACTTCTTTAAGGAGATTTTGCTACCTGATTATTAATCGATTAGTCAGAAATAATAAACAGATTAATCGATTAGCAAAATGATCATTAGTTGCAGCCCTAATGTGGAGTTTTTTAGTGTAAAGATTGCTGCATAAATTCTAAAATGTTTGGAAAAAATGTCAACCAGTTTGGTTCCCCCCCTTTAAAATGAGGAGATTGCATGCTCTGCAGGCATTTGAGAGTCAATGTAAACAGAAGATGAGGTTCTTAGCCATGTAGTTGGAGCTAATGATATGGATCAGAGGTCTTCATCAGGGGGTCCGTGACCCCTAGGGGGTCCGCAG